TGGAACGGCTCCTCTGCTCCTCCTGCACCGCTCGGGCTGTTTTCCTGCTAGGGGAGAACAGCTGGATACATAAGGCTCATGGCTGTTAAAAAGGGATCCTGGTTCTGTCAGGACGTTGAAGAAACCTGTGCCATGCAAGATCTCAGTATTTAATTGTCTTTTTAACATGAAAAAGGGTGTTAGTGCAGACTAGCTCCCACGGGAGGTATTTGGAACCTAAAATGGAAGCATCTCTTCCTTCTCAGTATTGTTCTTTGTGTTTTATGGTTTTGATTTCATTGTTTTCTATTTTTCGCTATCTGTTTTTCTTAACTCATAATATGGGGCTAACTTTATTGCCAAAATAAAACCTCTTGGGATTTTTCTTATTAGGGACTTTATTTTCTTTGTGAGATGCTTTTTTTTTTTCCCTATTAATGTTGTGTAAGATTAGATACAATAGTTTGCTGCTCATTCTTACAGGGTGATTCATTTTGCAATTCTGTTTTCCCTGGTGGCTGAGCTTGCAAGTATTACTTGCTCTCAGTGGGATTTCCTACTAAAGTAATTCCTGCTCTGTAGACTATAAGTGGACAGGATCAACCCAGCTCACATTTCCAGAAAGGTGGGAAGGGAAGAGAGAAAGGAACGTATCAAATTCAGGGGAGGGCAGAAGTAGTGCCAAGGATTTCTATTCCACCACTGAAAAATGTCTATTTAAAAGCACTTACTGCATTAGACTAACAGTTTCACACCCCAGAGGAGGTAAACATGGCTGAGGATAAAAAAGCCTTTGCTGAAGAGAGCGATAAAGCGTTGGCAAAGTCTGAAGGGCTCACTTTGAAGGATGTGCTGTTCTCCTACTGGGGGACCCCGTATCCTGTCACAGTGTGCAGTGTGGAAACGTTTCAAGCCCTGGAGAACCTGGAAGCCAGAAGAGATGATACGGTGCTGGTGTCCTACCCCAAATGCGGTGAATACATTATAAATTGCTTGCTGTAGTCTACAATACCGTAACTAATTAGCTGACACAATAAGAAGGAAAACCAATTGATTATAGTTGTGTGAGGATATCGGGCATTTCTACTACAACCAGAGGCAGCAGGTTTTTGTCCTGCTTTATTGTAATTAAACAGTCTGTTACACTGCTTTTCAATATGGTTTATGTTTCTGAAAGGAAAAGGAAGTTTTAGTGTTCAAAGATATTTTTGGCTGAAGAAACAAGAATAAAGTACATAGTTTTTTATATATCAGTGGGACAAGACAACTCTGCCAGTATGATGAACTGTATTCTGAAAAGCATGTTAGTAATGTAATATAGTGTAGTGTACAAAAGCAATAAAGTTATGCATTAGACTCTTCAAGGTGTAGAAAGTGACATGGCACAGCATCTTTACTTGCAAAATTATAAGCTGTTTCTTGGCATTATTCAGTATCAGCATTGTTTTTTGTTTTGTTAGTGCAAAATGGTATTGACTAGTCTAAAGCTTTTAGTCAGAGGTTTGCAGAAAGGAGGAAAGGTGCAACACGAGCAGTGAAAAAAACCCAAACAACCAACTAGTTGATTTTGATCTTTTTTTAAATGTCAGTTTTGACATGGTTGCTTACAAGGAAGGGATGAGTTTTGCTAATCTAGGAAATTCTATCCAAGCATATGTTTCTTCTTTGAGACCCAAGCAGCAGAAGCTTAGGTTTATCAGAGAAAATGTGGGTCCAGGGAAGGATTTCATTGCACTAGCATGGTAGTAGATGCGGTCAAGTTGGGCTCTAACCAGGAGGGTCCTAGGTCAAGGTCTCATTCAGCACATGGAATTCCCATTGGCTGGCGAGTTCTGATCTGGAAAGAAACTGTGGTGTATTTAGGAGCTCAAGGAGTATGCCTGTAGTGTTTAGGGTCAATTTATAGCAGCTGTGAGACAGGACACTGAACCAAGAGAAAGAGAGGGCGAATAGAAAAAGAGGGAGCTGGTGCAAAATGTGGAATGTGCATCTTTATTTTAAGGAGCCTGTAATTCCGTTGGGTTTGGGTCCAGAGTTCTGCTGGACCCTCTAAAGATCTAAAAGGTCACTGTCATAACTTGGGGCTGGCTTTGATTTCTCACAGAGTTTGGAAGAGTTCAGACGTGGAGTCGTGATGCTGATTGCCTCCGAGGTTTAGTAACTCAGTAAACCTCCCCTGCTCAGGGAGAGGGATCAGTAGATACAGAGATCTCACACTGTTAATATTGCGCAGTTTGTGGTAGGTCAGCAGGGGGAAATTTTACCAAAGACCACTGCCAGTTGTTCAGTAGGAGAGGGAGTACACAGCTCCCTGTGGTTTGCTGGCGAATGCAGCACCCTGTTACCCGGCAGGCACTGCTGGAGAGGCACGTATGAGAGGCTGCATGGAAGAAATGGGAAAGCAGGAGGGAGAGAAAATGTTGCGTTTGTGTAGTGCAGTGTAGTTACAATCTGCAGGTAAATCTTTTGGAATTTTCTCCCATTTGGATGTTTGCTCTTATATTCTTAAACAGTGCTAAATAGATTTCTTGTCCTTATTTCCTATGGCTTGCAAAATGGGGGAAAAGGCAAGAGAGGAGGATAAAGATCATAGAATCATAGAATCGTTTAGCTTGGAAAAGACCTTTAAGATCATCCAGTCCAACCATTACCAAGTCCACACTAAACCAATTAAGGGTAGACTAGACTAAACCATGTCCCAAAGTGCCACGTCTGCCCGTTTTTTGAATGCTTCCAGGGATGGTGACTCCACCACCTCTCCGTGCAGCCTGTTCCAATGCTTGAGAAAGATTATCTGCCCCAGTCTGAAACCAGAAATGGCTAGGCTCCCTCTTGCCCCTTGATGCGACACTTGGACCCACCAAGCCATAATGTCACCAGGTAGTAATAAAACTCTCTCTGTCCTCTTGAACCAAGCGAGCCTGGTGTCTGGCTTCCTCTGCCAGCTTCTCAGGTGTTTTCCACACAGGGCTCAAACTCTGTGGCATTTGCCACGTTTAAATGGCCATGAACGTGCCTGATGAAGGACTCATGTTGAGGCCCTTCAAAATCTTTGTCTCTCGAAGCTTTAATATTGTCCTTATTCCTTTCACTTATTAAGTATTATGAAGGTTAAGTTACAGTAAAGTCTCACTATATAAAAGGTTTCTCCCAACTCAGGTGTGCACAGTGGAGAGGAAAACTCTGATGCAGAGAACTATTGATGAGGTAGGGGTAAAGGATGCTGGAGCTCCAGGATGCAGTACTTCCCAGGATGGGTTGCACAGTTGAGAAGCCAGTAGGGGATTTAGAGACTAGGAATTTTAGGTTTATCAAAAGTAAAATCTGTATTTGTGCACATGCAGTTAATACTGGGCAGATGAGGGCATGGGTTTGGAGACTCTTAATGCTTTTGGCTCTGGTCTGTATGTAAATGGGAGAGTGACATAAATGATATACATCATACAATGTCATATATAAATATTGGGTGGTATATAAATGTAATATATGTATTATAAGACATTGTATGATGTGCACACATTGTATACACATTACTATATAAATGACATGTATCAGCTGCTTCCATCCAAGCATCCTGAGGCAGTTTAACACGGGGTGGAAGTTACTCCTTTCTGGGAATAACTTTCCACTGAAAGCATGAGGTTAAAGCTGTTTGCATTGTGTGTTCCCTGTTAGTGCCCCTGGCAGCTGCGTTCACAGGGGACTCGCAGCATGCAGGAGGCAGCAGCAGCAGCTCCGCAGGTCCATGTCCGTGGGCCCAGTGGGAAGCCTTCCAAGCGCCTCCCCACAAGTGGGGAGGGTGCTGCGGGTCAAGGTGAACACGCTGTTCCCTCGCTCTGTCCTGCCGGCAATTGGCAGAGCATCATTGGAGCAAATGTGGTTCCTGGAAACTTTGGGGAAGCAGGCACCACGGTGCAGCTCCAGGAGCTGGCCACAGGCTCATGCTGGAACAGGACAAATGTGGTTCCTGGAAACTTTGGGGAAGCAGGCACCACGGAGGCACCAGCTCCAGGAGCTGGCCACAGGCTCATGCTGGAACAGGGTGCTGCATGAGGGAGGCTTTGCTGCAAGATCCCTTCCAAAGGGTGAGGAGGGATGACGCAGGTGTCCAGTGGGTAACAGCTCTTCTAGCACTTGTTCTGGCATTTGCTTCATGGAGACGGCAACAGGCACAACTGAGGACAAGCGCTGGCAGTGACATTGAATAAATGACTCCATTTCATCCTTGACCCAGGGCAGTAGAGAGAGGCAGACACTTTCCTCGGCAGAATGGGTGAAGCTCTTTGCTCATTCCTTCCTTCTCCTATTCAGACCCTTCCCAGGTGTTTCTCTGCAAAGGACAGGAAAGCTTCCATTACTGTCTGTCACTGACTGTTTTATGAATATATTAAAAAGATGTTAAGTGCGTGATTGAGTCAGTTCTGTCCCCAGTGCTTCCACATACCAGTTATAAGTGAGCCAAGAAGGTCACAGTTAAGAAGCTGTTGAGGATCTTAACAGAAAACATTATTTTGTTTATAATCAGTTGAGAGCTTTAGTGTTATTTGTCATTTGATGACGTCTATTATGCTGAATTAAGCCATGTAATGAGAAGGCTTTGAGATCTTATATAAACCTCTGATATTTTTTATTTTGTTCTCTGGATTTCTTGATGCAGGTGTGAACTGGCTTATCCAGATTTTATGTGATTTGATATTTACAGCTATTCAGAGTAAACCTGTAAGCACAGAACTACCTTTTATTGAATGTGGAGATCCAGATAAATATCAGGTTAGTGAAAAGAAACTTAAAATCTTGTTTTCTCTCTCCTGCACACCCCCTCCCAAGTTACTAAAACGAAGTCATGCAGCAAGTAAAGATATTTCTCCTGAGAGGCGGGAAAAAGATGATCTTGGGTGACTAAAGTCTTTTGTTTAGGGGCTGTTTCACACAGGCGGCTCTCACAGGTCATTGCTGCACTCATGTAATAAACCTGTTCTCACTTATAGTTCTGTTTATTTCTAAAGAGGAGGAAGCAGATTCCATCTCCAAGGATTTTGGCAACGCATCTGAATTATGATTGCCTTCCCAAGTCTATTTTCAAGAACAAAGCCAAGGTGGGCTTTTTTCTTTTTTCAAGAACAAGCCTCATCTCTCTTGACAGTACCAGCATGCAAGAGTAATTTTGGGGCCACATCCTTTTCTTGCACCCAAGCAGGTGGCACTGGGGGAAAGCAACTTGGAGACAGTGGGATGCCTGGGCTGGCTTATCACCCCCTACAATTTACAGCAGCCTTAGTGGTGCTGTAGTTGACATAAACAAGAACAGATCTAGAGGCTCTTGCAGTGCTCAGAAATGGCTGGAGTGTCACGCTTTCATTTTTTTTTATGCTACTCTTTTCTATGCACAACTGTCGTGGGAACGAACATGGCAGCGGTGTCTCTGCGACATTGGCTGTCTGCTTGCAAAGAGTCACACTTAAAACTTTAATATTTCTGGTACTTGGTCACTGAACAATGGCGGATATATAGCACTCAGGAGATGTACCACAGATGAAGGAAATAATTGGTTAAGGGATGAAGATTTTTTCCATATTTCATTGGTATTTTTTCTTGTATGAGACAGGAAAAAAATATAATGTGTATAACAAAAAAATTCAGTGTGTATAACGTGTTTTCAGAAGTGTTTACGCTTCTCTGAGGATTACAGTCTCTTAGGATTTCAGGAACATTATTTCCATGCTTTGAAAAATGGGAGATGATTGTAACAGCTGCAGTTTCCTGAAGGAGAATCGAACAGAGCCTTTCCTAGCAGGGGGTTGCCAAATGGTTCCTTACAATTTCCCAGGTCTTAGGTACTTATGGGATAGTATTCAATGACAATATTACAGTTTTTCCAGTTGCTTCTTTCTACAATTGCTTCATGACATAAGCAAATCTTAGAAGTGGTAACAAGGTCTTTATTATGATCACATTATAAATTTGTTCTCCATGCCTTAACTAATAAAATATTTTATAGCCTGTAGTGTGTTATTGGTTGCAGAATGTTTGGTTATACTCTCATTTTGGTTGCCAGGGGAAATAAGTGATCTAAAATTGTTGACCTCTTTCTCCCACTCCAGATACTAGTACTGTTTCGAAACCCTAAAGATACAGCTGTTTCATTTTTCCATTTCCACAACAATGTGCCAAGTGTCCCCAGTTACAGCTCCTGGGATGAGTTCTTCTCAGAGTTCTTGAATGGGAAAGGTATTGTTACAGTTACTGAATGTAGCTGAAGAAGCAACAGGGAAAATATATTTGAAAACAACTAAATGGGGCCAGTGGGAAAACAGCTGTGTCGTAATTAGCTTACTGATGGCCATACGTCATGATAAAGGAGGCAGCTGAATGCCAGAATGGGGAGAATGTCCAAAAGACGCTTTGCTTCTGGGTATTTTGCTCTTCCAGGTGAGGGTGAAAGAGTTGCATGGCAGCTTGATGATGGCATCGGGTCAAAATTCTGCCACGTAGTGGTGGAGGAAATGCTACAGATCTGAAGTGGTAATGAAATGACAGTTTGTTGTCTTTACTGTTTCTGCGCATGAGGCCAAACATCTCATTAGCAACCCAAATTTTAGACTTGGACTGATGTCTGGCTTTGGCTTTTACGAGATGTTTAAATGACAGTATAATAATGGAGGGGAAGCACATAGTGAAATTTATATTTCTGTGTGGAAACCATTTACCTACAAAAGTCCAGAGGAAGCCTCTGTCATTCTGTTGTACAGTACAGTACCATGGAAAGGCCAGGCTGTTCCGTTTGTTTGCATTGATGTGACTGGTAGGCAACAGAAGGCAATTCTTCAGGCAGAGAGAAATAAGTACCCAGTAAGAAAAGAAGGTCACTATGATGCTTTGTTCTCTTCTTTACAGTCAGCTGGGGATCCTATTTTGATCATGCAGTCACCTGGAACAAACACATTGAGGATGACAATACTATGATCATAATATGTGAAGACCTGAAAGAGGTAAAGCAGATGCTGTGCACTGACAGGCAAAACACATCTCAGCCCCTTCCTTGAAATCTGCTGAAATTAACAGCAAAAGGCACGGGTTTCTGAAAGAGCAAAATCAAGTTGATTTTAGTGACAAGTTGAGCCTGGCTATACAAAAGCTGAGCTCCAGCGTAATGCAGAAAACAGACTGTGAATGAAGGTATATATTGTTAATAGATGATGGCAATGCACATCCCAATTGGGTAACTCCTTTTTCAGAGGAAGCGTATTGCATGTCTCCCTTTCACTGTATTGCTTTCAGAACCTGACTGCTAGTATAAAGCAGATAGCTGAATTCTTTGGATTCTCCCCAACGGCAGAGCAGATCCAGTCCATTGCAGACAGGGCCACTTTCCAGGCAGTGAAGGATAAGGCACAGGAGACTCATGGTGCTGTTGGCTCAATTCTTTTCTGCAAAGGTAAATTTGTATTTTGGCAGGGTGGTGAATGGTAGCACTGCATCTTGGGCAGACAGGAATTTGGATCAGTAGATGGTTAGTCTTTCTGTGTAATTTTCAAGGCTGGGAGTTTTTTAAGAAACACTGATTGTGATTCAGGATGCTGTCACTTGATTTCATCACAAGGGCCAGTACCATTCTGTAAAGCCCTGTATAATGTGACCCTACAACTAGCACACCCTTCAGTCGTGATATGCAGTAAGCACCAATTAAAACAAAGAAGAGTTTTATTTTGGCTTCTGTGAGTACTGGGGATAGCCTGGCACTCAGTCTACAGAGTGCCTCCACAGATTTTTCTTGGGTTTTCTAAATAACCCTTGTGATTGCCTAAGAACCTCAGTCAACACATGGAATCCAGACACTCCACAGATTCAGCTGTGTCTTTTAGCCATGGATCAAGCTAGAGCTGTAGACTCAGACAACCTCAGACTGTGGGCTCTCCAAAATCTAGATTAAAGGTAGACCACAGCTTAGGGCAGTGTCTGGTTGCAGTGCGCAAAGCTCTTGCAGTTAAAAGCCACATCTTTGAACTTTCTGGGTTGGTTTCACAACTGCTGGTCATCTTTTATAGTCTTCTGCAGCTGTACAAGACACATGCCAAAGCTGTGAAGGCAGACCAGTGGCTTCCTATGTTTGCTTTATGTCTACATTCTATTGAGGACACCAAACATAAGGCAAACATGAGTGTATTCTTGGGTCAGAGATTCTTTTCTTGCAGGGGGAAAAAAAAAAGAAAAAAGGATTATCCTGAAATATAATAATAAGAGAGACAAGGTGGTGTTTTGTTTTAAATCATACTCCTTGGTCCTTACAGTCAAAGGTAATATTTTACTTTTCTTTATATTCCAGGTGTTGTTGGAGACTGGAAAAATCTTTTCACTGAGGCTCAGAACCAGGAAATGGATGCCAATTCAAAGTGTGCTTAGAAGGAACTAAGCTGGGAGTGAAGTTAAAATATGATGTGTACTGCAAGGCCTGAACCTCCTTTAGAGAAAAAACTCATGTCCGGGCTGCTTTTCATTCACTTCTATGAAATAAAACAGAAACCAGGACAATATCTGATTTAAAAATCCTTGCAATTTGCAAACCTCTTTCTGCTGTCTTAACTTACACAAGCAATCCTTGCTTGTGCAGTTAGTATCATTGACCTCACTGGATTCTCTTAAACGACCTGTAGTTCTTTGGCCTCACTTGGTTTTTAACACTGATTTTTAGCTATGATTTCACGTTACCTGGTAGAATCCTGTGTGGAATATGTATGCAGTAGTTAAACCTGCTGAAATCACTGGAAATGTATTCAGTGTGTTGGAAGTGATTTTCCAAGAGATTTTTTTAAAACAGTCGTGAAGTGTCATTTTGATTCTTAATTTTTAGGTTCATAGTATTCATATATAATTTTAATTTCTGAGTTCATAGTGTAAAATGAAATTTCAAAAGGTCTCGTTGTGGTTGTCTTTTGCCACTTTCTGTGTGCTGATAAATGTGTGAAAAAATGAAGGAACTCAGTGGTGGGAATTTCCCCCCCCTTTTGGCGATAATATTTTTCTTTCCTTTGGTAGTGTGAGATCTCATCCTGAGCAGTTGAAGGAATTGCCTTGGACAGAACTTGCTCATGGAGGTTGGGGTCCCCCTCCTGGTGGTGGCTTGCTTTTTTGCTTAACCTCAACATAGGGTTACCCATGGGGAAAATTGGAAACACTTGTTGAGAATACCAGGTTTTGTCCACATGATTGTCAGGACTCCTGAGCACCCAGCCTGCTTTGGATGTTGAGGAAGCTCCTGGCTGGGCAGGGCTGGGAGGAAGTCACTTCCTTATGGTATCAAAGCAGGGGGGGTGGTAATCACCTGGTTGACTGTTTGGAAGAAGGGACTTTTTAGACATGAGAGAAGGAAGTGTGCTACTTGCATAACTCTGGAAATGGAGCCTTTGTCTGCGTTGTCTGGGTTTGCCTGGGTTACTTTATGCCTAACAGTAGTACATACAATTTCAGAGCCAGGATGTGGATTTTTTTCTGGATGTCTGTCTGGGAGCTTTGAAGTACCACTGTCAAGAACAGAATGGCTCTCCTTTGGTGGTGCTAGAAGACCTGTGTGCACAAGATGGTTGAGCATTGAACGGTCTCATAAAGGGCTGACTTTTTAGGCTAAAGTTTTCCCTTGGGAGGCAGATTAAACACCAGTCTTTGGCAGTTGGTTGTTTTCCCCACCAGAGGCATTTCTTTTGCTCAGAAGAGAAGGAATACAAAGGAAAAAGTACTCGGAGGAGGAATACGCGGGTAATGGGCACACAGTTGCTAATTTAGCCAGTAGCAGAGATTAAAGTCTTCCTCCTCATAATTTGTCAGCTTCTGTCTGAGAAATAATTGTCTTAAGCGTGGTAGATGACTTGGCAGAAGGAGTGTTTGTTACAGGTGTGTTGGGTAAAGAGTGTACCTTAGTCAGGCTGAAAACTCAAGTATTGGGTACTTGAGGTGTTGACACAGATGGACTCTGTGAGACCTTGTGCTGCACGCTTTGTTAGCACAACAAACTCCCAAGTGCTAATGAGAATCCCTTTCTAAAAGTCTGCCAGTGACAGGAGAATGATTAAGACAGGTTAACTTCAGTGCATAGTTAGGGATGTCTTGTCATTTTGTAGTCAGGTCTCCACGAAATTGTTTGTCTTTCCTGGCATATTCCCCTTTAATTTTCTTCTCCTGTTCTAGCCTCGTTTGCTGTAGCAATGAAAACTGCATACAGTTCACTGACGGTGCAAAAAAACCCTCCAGCTGTTGGTCCTTTAGGTTGACTAGCTAAGATGCCAGTGTCCTAAAGACTGGCATTCACATGGTGGGAAGCAAGGATCAATGCAGATGTGAATTTGCTTTCAAAATTAACAGTTGTAATAATGGCCATTTAAAATAAGTAAACCAGAAGTGGGGTACCAGTGAGAATTGAAGAGCGAAATAGAACACACAAAACCAAACCGTATCAGAATGAAGTCAGTTAATACTAAACAAATGAAGGTTTAGGTTGCTAAAGCTATCTCAAACAAATCCGGGGTTCCTTATAAGCTTTAGATAGGCACCAGGAAAAGCAGCAGCGTTCCTTGGGTATTCGCCTCAGCTGTACCTGCTGCAGCAGCAGGTCAATATCATTGCTAAGCAATTACTAAAAGGAAGTTCAAAAGGCTTTGATTGAGGATAATGTTGAAGCAGGAGCACTACTTCCTATTAAAGCAGGTTGCCTGAATTACTGATAGATCAGTAATAGCCGGCCTGTCCACTTAAACCGACGTGTTTCTCAGTTTAAGATTACTATGAAGTATTCCAGGGCAGTTCAAGAGGAAATCCTATCTCAAGATGCTAAATAGGCTACTCTTAAATTTTCACACCTTTTGACCAGCAAGGTTATTTAAGCTGAGGTTGTTTAGCTATCTGAGGGAATATTTTATAGGTGACATTCTTAAATTCCTTCAGTCTGATCTGCACATTCTTCTCAGCACATATTCACATACTCAGTAATTGCCAGCTAATGATGAGTGTTAAAGAACATCGAGTATAAGACTGTTGAGTGTGAGGGGCGACTGATTTTTTTGTAGCTTTCTGTGTGTTGTAGGTTCCGTTCTGTTAAAAATGATGTGGTGGGGTAACAGGGAAGAAAGCTAGACATAACGTCACCAGAGAAAGGGAGAATTTGTACCTTGCTCAAGCACTTAAGCACATTCAGGATGAAAAAGCACTGTGAAGTGCTGTGAGATGGTGGCATAGAAGGTCAAATCCAGTAGCCCACAATAACTGCAGCTGTTGACAGCAGCTAAACTAAACTAAAGATTCAAACCCAACAGGAAAATTAAACTCCTCATTGTGGAAAATCACCAGTCATATAATCTTTCAGCCATACATGTAGGGAGCAATTTTGGGTATATATTTTCCATTTCTGTATTTTATACTTTATGTTTTCCCTTTTATACTTTTTATTACAGTACTCAGCAGTAAAACTTCAAATGGTATTTCTGCACACAACATTTAAGGAATATGTTGGATCATTCAGCTTCTAAAGAGTTTTTTTCAATCCCTGACCACAGTTTTGGTTTCATTTTTTCTGTATTTGTGACCTGCTTCACACTTACCATTTTCCAGCAGTTGTAGTTATTTATGATGTCTACATTTATGGTAACTGCTACATGCTGCTCTATTAGTACTTTTGTCACCTTATAAGCTGTTCAGTAATAATCATAGGGCAGGAAAATATATTAAAATGATAGTGAAAAAGAAAAATTGGAGGTCTTCTTGGAAAAGAGAAGCATAAATGTATCTTTTGTATGTGAGAGATGGCTCCCTTGTGTGTGTTCAGGGTGTCAATAACCGAACCAAAAAGGAAAAAGAATTCTGGTAATTCTGGTACTGAATTACAATAAAAGTAAAACAGGATCAAAGCAGACAGAACTCAGCTCAATTTTCTCATTTACAAAATGCAGGTATTTCAGATTGCAGCATTTTGCAGGACAGTAATTGGAAAGATAATTAATGTTGAATTACAATAGAAGTGCTGTAGAAGTACAGGGCACATACAACATCCACAGGTACATCAAATCATTTTTTTCTGAGGGTTGGCTGGCCATTAGAAAGGATGCCAAATGGATTTATAATGAAGGGGGACATGAAATACAGTCATTGCAATCTTGTTATGACAGCAAATGCCTGGACTTGTATTCTAATGGTTTTTTTTTGTTAAAGTCCTAACACTTTCATCTGAATTTTGACTGAACGCTCACCTTTTTGCGGATTAGCACCTTCTGTTTTAATCTGAACACACTGCAGAGCTTGGCAACGTACACTGGAAGTGTTGAAATGAGACTGGTCAGTGAATGTTACAGATGTTATTATTGTCAGGATTGATGCAAAGGAGAGAAATAGAGAACAACATTATGAATGAGAGTGTACTGTGTCAGTGCTGTGTCCGAGTGCATTGCTAGAGCATTCTGCTAAAATGTCATTTACGTTCAGATGTTTATGGTCATGGATACAACTGTCCTGTATTGCTATTGCACTTTGTAATACCTGTATATTGGATAATATGAAATATTAGCCAATAAAATACTCAGTGTGCATCTGAATGGAAAGGTTTTCGTATGATCATTTGGCTTCTGCAAAAAGTTTAGAGGCTTGAGGAAGATAGGTAGAAAATTAGTCTTTGACTTTGCTCAAAATGTGAGGCAGCCAGGAAATGAAGGGAGGCTGGGAAACTGGTTTCTTGGGAGGCTTGTGTACGTGTGAGTAATACAAGCTTATTGACATATGCTTGTGGGGTCTCCAGTGAGTTTCTTTTAAAAAGCCAGTGAGGCCGTTTTCATTACTACAGCACTCATTGGCGTTCCCCCAGCAGGTATATAAGTCATAGTTTCATTATTGTGTATTTCTGATATATCCGTAGGCAATGTATTTATATTCAGAGGAAAAAATTAAATGCAAGATAATCTCAGGCATTAGGCATGTCCCAAAAACTGTAAAAAAACACCCAACAAAAACCCCCATGAAAATGGAGCACTTACATTCTTCCCTGTCTTCATTTATCTTCTGCAGGCACAGAGAGTGATCGGAATAACTTATGCAGATGACCGGACCAGTCTCTTCTTTCGTTCTGTGGGCGAGTATTTACACTGTCTACAATTTTCATTTTTTTTTTTCTGGTCTTCCAGCACAATCTGCCCTGTTTTTTCCTGATCACATGGATTTTTTTTTCCCCCTAACTGTTATTTATTTAGAAAACTGTTAATTTTTCTTCTTTTTGTTTGTTTATTTTTGGTTGTTTTTTTTTTTTTTTTTTTCCCCCCCTGGCAAGCCACTGTGTTTGTCCTCAGTTGCAAGGTGTAAGCTTCTGGACACCCAGCTTTCTTGCTGCTGTGGTACCAGAGGCACGGTCAGCCATTTATGCATCGCCATAGAAAACTTACCTTAGAATCATAGAATTGTTTAGGTTGGAAAAGACCTTTAAGAT